TCGGGCGCCTCAGGTCGGCCACTCTCATCGCAAGCAATCAACTCTCATCCCCCCCGCCGCGCCAGTCCCTCTCACGGATACCTTTCTGTTACGCGCCAACGAAAGACCTCCAGCCGTCGCTCCCTTGCTGCCATCCAGCCGACGACAGGACTACTGCACCTGGCGCACGCTCCGGTGACAGAGCTGGCCTCATCCTGGTCAAGATTTGTGTACCAGTGCAAGAAGGAGTTGGCGCTGCTGTGCAAGCTGCTGTCTCCCAGAAATAGATTGCACTTTTCCTCCCAGTTGCCTGCCCTGCCCTGCTTGTTCTATCCACCTCTCTCTCTCCCTCCCTTCCCTTCTTCACGGCACGACCCTCTCCTCCCTTCGCTGGCGTCCGTCAGGCTCTTGACCGTCAGTTGCCTTCGTTGCATATCGCCATCAGCCAGCAAGGCCTTCCAAGACCGACTCTCTCGTTGTCGACGTCAAGATGCCCTCGGTGGCCAGACCAGTTCTCCCTCCTCTCCAGACCCCCAAGACCGCCTCTTTCCCCTCCGAGATTGTCGAAACCCCGATTTCATGCGTCTCTGCGGTGATCAAGCAAGAAAATGCGAATCTCAAGACGCCAATTACACCTCCAGTCGCCTACACCGAGTTCCTTAAGGCTTTGACTCCGGTCCTGGCCAGTCCGCCAGTAAGCAGCACACTTCAGAGGTCAATGTCGGATGAGTCGACATGCACAAGACACTCCATGATATCGGTTGCGTCTACGTCTTCCAGTCTATCTTCTAGCCGAAGCGAAAGCCGCAAGTCTCCATGCAGTTCCGTTCCACCAACTCCATACGCTCGCAAAACTCCCACTCCCTTGAGGCGCTTGCGGATACCACATTCTCCAGCGTTTTCTCCATCCACATCCGGACCATCGCCGCGGACTGCCATGAGCGGCATGAGCAATGGCGGTATCTATTCTCCATTCTCGCCCGCGGACTGGAACTGTGAGAGCGCAACTCGACGGTATTTTGACGCGCCGAGGAGCGCATGTTCCAAGACCGTCAATGTTCGCTCTGTCGTGTCGAGGACAGTGACATACAAGCGATCACCGCCCCTCGACCCTGCGCCGAAGGGCAAGAAACGCAAAATCGACATTACAGACATGCCCCCACCTCCCACCTCAAAAGACATTACTGGCATCAAGGCGGTTGATTTCCCTTCAACACTGATCGAGCCACAGCCATCTGTCTCAACTTCGCCTTCTGCATTGGCCAGCCCTCTCCCACCGGCAGTCACCACCTCCCCGCCTGCCTTTGGATGAAATGACCACCCACATGGCCTTGATACGATGGCGCTTTAATGGGATTTCCGGAGAGACTTCACAGATGATATTCCATCTTGGTGAGTCACTCCGAACACGGAATATCATGGGGTTTACGACATGCATTGCTACTAGTTTTATTATACGTGATACCACACTACGTGTTTCTGCGACGGTGCTTGGCGTTAAGAGACACCGAACCAACGAACCGAACTGAAGGAGTTGAACTGAAACGTGGAAGGAGGCCTTTTTGGCACTTCAGGCATTGCATGAATGGGATATGGCGGGCTATTTTGGTTTTATTTTACGAACTTCTTCGATTCCGGGAGGTTGGCTATGGGGCGGATACTCTGAAAAGCACTTGAAAGGGTTTTGGTGATACACCCACTTTCTCTCTCCGCAGCCGGATCCTGCGGTCAGAGCCGGGCAAAAGGGCTTACTGATGCGCCAGATTCTGAGCGGCATCGGAACAAGACATGTCCTCTCCCGCACACTTGGGAATCAAGACACAAATCAGCCAATGAATGAAAGTATCTTGAAAAAGTTTACAATACGGAGTCGAGTTGTTGTCAACCAGTGCGCGTCCTGTACCACGACCCTCCCAGGCCAAGGACGCAGAATAGGCTCGAGAAAAACGTGGCATCAGGATCTTCAGCCGCCAGTCATCAGCAGGTTCTCGCCATATGAGTGGGCCACGACTGCTCCTCGATCACCGATCCACTTGGGCGGTATGGCCATGGATGACATTCGATTCGTTGAGCATGCACACGGGATTACGTAGGATAGGCTCAAAGAGCTGGAGAGAGCTGTCAAGCTGTGTACGAATATACTATGTATAACATCCATGAAGTGCCCATGTTCAGCCAGAAAGACGGGTTCCCTATCCCCATTGGCAGGATAGCCGCGTGCCTCAATGGGGTGGTCCAGCCGTTGGGGCGGTGATGGAGGGGTTCAACTGGCAAAAGGGCTTTGAGTCCTCCGTACTTTTGTTGGGAAGAATTTCCCACGATCAACCCAGAGGGAACGCCGTATTTGACCCGAGAAAAGAACAAGCTGTTCGTGCTGTCCACGGAGGTGCAAGGATTCTCAGGGGGAATCAAGAGAAGTTTTCCTGTACCTAGGTATGCCCCCGCGACCGTGGGTTTTAGTCCAATGCAGGGGGCTGTTGATGGGGGAGTACCTCGCCCGCAGATATCACGGCGGAAGGTACATTAGTCGAAGCAACGGGGGTCACCGGGAGAATCGCCAGTCGAATCTTTGGGACTCCTGAATCTGGTTTTTGAATTTCGGGGGCCACAGGAACCCTCCCCTGCCAGCCAACAAGGAGAAAAAGGAGGGAGGGGTGGCAAAAGCAGCAAGAGCTGACATCACTCCCCTTTTAGAACAACGCTGTCGCCTGCTCGCCTGAGTCCCAAATTGCCAACGCACTGGTCGTCCGGGATCAACAAAACCAATTTGCACCCGGGTGTTGCGCCTCAAACCGCCAAGCACCTTCTAGCGTGCTTCGAAGCTGGCGTCGATTGGATGGAGAGACACGGGAGGAGCCCGGACGCCCCGCTGTACCGCAACGCTGGAACTGCGCTAGTCGCAGGAGATTTGCTGATTGGGCTATCACGGTGTACGGCCCCGCACATGGCTTTTGTGGGTCCGGCGCTTGCTCGAACACGCGCAGCCAGTCGTTTCAGGTGGAGATCAGGCTCTGTTTGAGACTGGTGTGTGCTGCGTGGCTGTGATTGGAGGAGCCGTGAGAGGGCACCTGTCGTTATTTTTAGTCTTTGTGGATCCTATGGAAGATGCTGGTTCAGCCAATGGTGGAGGGTGGGCAGCAATGACATTTCCGAAAGGGGGGCCAGCGCTTAATTCTCCGCCCTCGTTGCACCTTCACCTACCTACCGTACAAGTGCCGGAGGTACTAGGTAGGCATTATGCGACGCGGTGAGAGTGTTGCTCGCTCCTGGAGCCGAGGAAGGGACAATGGTGGTTATGATGGTCCCCGTTCCTTGTCTGTCCGTCAATCAATCAATCAATGCAACAATAGAGTCGGTACGAGGTAGATCGACAGGCTGTCCCGTGTTTCTGCCATGCTGCCTATATCCTCCGTGCCTGTGCATACTACTAACCGGCTAGTGACTGGTTAGAACATGTCCGATCAGGTTGCAATCCGTCCATTGCATCCCATCTCGCCCATCCCATCCGGCTATGTAGCTAAACGTGGTGGTGCCGGGGCTCTTGTTTTTCCTTTCATCACGCGTCATGTACTACTCGCTGCCACTAGCTAGTTAGATAACTAGCTACATCGCTCCCTGACCCGAACATGTGACCGTTTCTGTTTTTGTTCTGCTCACAGGAATGAATGGTGGGGAGCGAGGGAGAGGGTGAGAGTGAGGGACGGATGGTACATGCCGAGACAGAGTAAAGGGACGCGATGCGTTGCCGTTAATGAGGCTAGGGCTTGCGTGTCCCATCTCGAAGCACATCTACATGCATAATACATACCGAGTACATCTAATGGATCTGTTTCTGGCCAAGGGTCTTTCTTGCTGTCCTGCCACCTGCCAGATTCTCCAAACTATCGATATTCTGCATACACGGGGCTTGAAGTCCGCATATCCTTCGCCTTCCCACCCACTCTCGTCTACCCACAATGGCCATATCAGGAGCCGATTGAAGCGCGCTTACACGCTACCTCCTAAAAGCTTCGCCAAAAGGTTTCTTGATCAGCTTGCATAACGCACATACCGCTTCGGGCCTGGCTCTGGTGTATCGCTGTGTCTCTGTGTGCAACGGTGTTGTGCCCTTCTGTGACCTATGCCACTCATAGGTCCACCTTCGGCTGCCCGACAGATCAGAGTTCACGCTGGCCATCGAAGAAGACCTGGTGGTGACTCGGCTCGTCGAGCCCGTCGCCCGAGATCTTCGCTCGCCACACCCGCTATTTCCATCTTCCCCCCGCTGTGATTTGATTGTCGACGGGGAAGAGTGTGACTGCTGGGATATAGTATGCATGAACTCCTTTCCCTCCCTGAGCGGCGACTTGAATGAGTTTCTCCGCTCTTCGACGGCGGTGGGCGCCGAGCAGGGCCGTCCAGCCAGACTGAGGTTCCAGGCAGCATTGCAAGCCATGCCAGCTTCTGGGTCACTGTGGTGGAAAGCAAGCGGGCACGACATCCCTTTCATGAGGCATGGGCCCAACTCTTCGCTTCATTGAGGCGGGAGTGCCACTTGTTCAAAAGATGCAGAGACACCGCTTCACATTTTCCATGGGTGGCCGCTCCATGCACAGAAGATGTGTGCTTTTGTCGAACCGGTGTGCCACCTGTTTGAACTTCGCCCGCTGCACCTGTTTGAAAAGCCTGTTTTGAGGATGGCGATAATGCATCAGTTAGTGTCACTGACCACCTTTGCATTAACTTTGTCGCGCTCTCGCCGCTCGCCCAAACTGCCCTCGCGGAATTGCATCTTCCGCCTCGATCAGCTTGCGACAAAGCGATGCCGGGTAGAATCTTCTGCAAAGACCGCGGGCGATTTGTGGTTTAACTACCGAATCGAGGAGAATTGGTAGTGCTTCTTGAACTAGTAGAGGTTCGACATTGATCGGGATAGCAGTCACCACTAGGTGAGATGCGAAGATTCTTTGCCTCCTGGTAATGCTCTGTTCAATCAAGTGTCCTGTATTAGTAGTTCTAGTGCGGTGTCGAAGCTCTCGGCATCACCGTTGCTGCCGGTTTCCTCGTCTTCTTCCGTCTCGCTGTCCACCAGCCACCCTCCTGAACAAATAGATATTTGGCACAGTCGCTTCATAATATCTTCGGTAGACAGCTGCAGGCCTCTCATCTTCCCCGACTTCAAGATTGAGGAGCCTTGACTTTCTCTCCTCGAGATACTCGGCGAACTGAAGTGAAGAGCGCTGCACCTCCTTGGTAGGGACATCGTCCTGCCCATGGACATGATTGAGTACCTTCAGAACGTTGTACCCGCACTCTTCAAGAGTTTCCTTCCACTCCATGCTGTAGCCATGCTTCACAACAATGTCTGAAACGCTCTCTTCGGAATGTTTTACCGCAAAGACATTTGGACCCGCAGTAACCAAGAGTATTAGGATGTCTTTTAACTCTCCATGATGTCTGTTGGTGACAAGACTGCCGTATACCAATTCCCTGTCCTTGCACTTCCCTGAGCTCAAAATCATATGCAGGCGGTTTCCTCCGTCTTCGACAGTGACGCACGGATCTGCTCACCTTGATATCAAAAAGTGACTTTGGAGGCTACTTGGAAGGAGTGAATGCCCATGCCGATAAGCAAGCAAGATCTGCAGAGGTGTCCATTGTGAGTCCATGATCGAGTTTGGCGTCATAAACGGCTCAATGTTGTCAAATATCGCTCAGAGAGTTTGCTATCTTGAGTGAGCATATCATGTTCGCTTGACATACCGTAAGAGTGTCACTTACTCATTATCGACGAGTGCGCAAGGACGATCGTTACGAAAGCAACTCCCCTTGCATTTGCGACAGAAAAGTCGGCCCCTGCCTGAGTTATAGCCGTCGCACTTTCAGAGGCGAGTCAATTCTCGCTCGAAGAGAGATGACTACCTACAGATAACGACATCTCCATAGCTACTGGACTTCAATCGAGGTTTTCGAAGATCTGGTTTCAACTTACGAAGAAAGCACTGGTGCTTGGGGCAAAACTATCGATTCGAATGCGTCAACATCTGCACCACAGTTGATTAGGTATTTGACCATCGCTGCATTGTATCTCCTCATAGCACACTTGCAATGTTAGAGCCAAGTTACAGTAATTCAGCTGATACTTAAGCCAAGTAGGGACCGGCCGTATTCATCGCAGTCTGTGCTTGAGGCTTCTCGATCTGCAAAGAGTCCCGCCATTTCTTCGGGGGAGCCGCGGTTTGCCACGCGGAACACTCGTGAATCGCTCCTCCTGATTGCTTTGAGGGATAGCCCGGTCGGTTTGAAAACAGTTCGACCGAGACAATGTAGTTGCTCGCACCGAAATATGATCTGAGTCTTCTGGAAAGATTCGCTCCTGGTAAAAGCGACACTTTGGCAAGAAATTTGGATTCCAAGGCATTCTCAGAGGTGACATGTCCAACCTTATGTGATTGTGACAGTTGGAGAAGTAAATCGAGCCGTCCAACCGATGTCTCCAACGTTGCAAATATTGTGCTTACAGCTGTTTGATTTGAGGGCACGATTCCGGTGGGAAATGTACTGAAGCTGAGCGGTTGGAGTTTGTCCTCAAAATACTGTTGAGCGAATTATAACTTGGTGCTTTACGACGCACATTAGCGACTCTGCTCAGGCCATGAATATGGGGGAGACATAAGGCATATGATGTACTGACCATCAGGACCAGCAAGTTCCAACATCTGAGTCAACTGAAAAATGCTTCGTACACATTCAAGGTCATTTGAGTCCCATCCGCTGAAGCGCATCCCAGGAAGAGAGCTACCCTTTTGTATCAGCACGCTCATGTAATCCAAGATCTGCACTAGATCTTTAATGATTGTCTGCCGTGCGGTTGATGATATCTTGGTTACGGATTGTTCGGTCTATTGGAGGAGCTGCAGGAATCTGACTGCAAAGGCGTCGTTCATCTGAAGTATTGAAGCTGAGGCTTGCCGCGCTGTAGTATCGACTTCGGTGTCCTGGATCCTCGAGGTTTTCTGTTTGAGAGCAACCATATTAAGCTGAAGTTCCTTGATGCCTGTCAGAATATCAGCCAATATATTTTGGTCTTGCCGCGACATGTGTGATGTTTATACCACGTTTCCTCGTATATCATCGAGCTCCGAGTGAATGCCTGAAAATGCCGAAAGAGCGGCTTGCCGGTGTTGGACGGAATCGAGAACTTGTGGTGATACAATTTGTCGGTTGGCGTGGATCTATTGGTTTTCTTCTTCTCGATTTACTGCCATACGATCCACAATCGCTTTTTGAGATTGGAGATCCACGTACATTGATGGTAATGTTGCTGTGGATGATTGGACGTCCTTCAGCGGGGAGGCAACTTGACCAAACTGTAGCATTGTGGCGTGTTCCAGTGATCCAATACGTCCATTCGAGTTGAGGCGATTTTCATTCCTATATAAGTCAGACAGTATTAACTGAGTTGTATGTTATGAAGCCGTACGTCCCAATTCTCATCAAGATATTGGAGAAACGCTGGCTATAGTGTAGAACTTGGCTCCCCCAATCATTGATTTCACGGTGATGGTTTACTCTTTTCAAAGCCTTTCTTAGTTTCGCCCGAATATTATTTATTGCATAAGGGTAAAGCTGCGTCAATTTTTGCTGGATTTCCGATAGATCCTGTACGCATTTCTGTACTAAAAACCTTAAGAGTCTTCGACAAGCCTCCTATCAAGGCCTCCGTGATCCTTCAGGCGCGCCTCGTCGAGATCCTTCACATAAGCAACGAGGCATTCGAGCTCTGACACGGCAGATGCCAAGCGTGCCAGAGGTGCTGGACATTCGCCATCATTCCTTCTCAGCTCTCTCATCACCGTGGAGACCTAGGTCAGCGGGGATGTTAATGTTGGTAGGGATGCAGCAAATCCTACAGGTTCCATTTGATTGCCGCCTTCGACAGAAGATTGTCTAGGGCTGGGAAGGGCTGACAAGGAGAATAGGGGGAATTGAGGGGAAGGAAGGAAGAAAATCAATGAAGCTGAGAGCGCCGATGGAGCTAACCCATCTCAGCCTCTCTCGTCGTCCGTTGCAAGGGTAGGAGCAAACCCCGATGCGCCCAGATTCTGAGGTCGTCGACGTCCATCTGCACAGCCTTAGACCTCGCTGCGTGGAGTCTTCCCATTGGGTTGGGAAGCAAAGGAGGGCACCAGGGCAAGCCTGGAGCTTAGCTCATCAGTATCTCCAGTTCGAGTTACGATCACGGCTCATCGCCGTGGAGGAAGCCCAGGCATATACAAGGCTAACAGCACGCATCCAGCAGATCATTGTTGCCATCTGCCTAGCTGTCGAGCTGTCCATAGGACGTTGGGTTATGGAGCTGGGAAAGAAACTTGAAGTGCTCTCGTGCTCTACTCCGTGCTCGGGTCCGGATAAATACATCCTCCGGCTTGGCAGCCTTATCGTTATCGCTGCGCGCTGTTCTGTCGAGACCTAGCGATGCCGCAGCGAATGCAACATCATCCTGCGCCAAATTCGGTCGTCGAGCATTTCCTGTGCCACATGTGTGCTCGCTTCCTAATCCGCCGCAGCTCTCCGTTTGATTATCTCTGCACATAAATTCGAGGCTCTTTCGCCCCTCCGAGAAGCGCGTCTGTTTCTATTATTTTCTTTCTTCGGAGACTCTCCCTGCCCGTTGATACGCATCTTCCGACCCGGCGCGAATCGGCGAGACTCAGCTGCGAACATACTATCCTCTCACACCTCCGCGACAGGGTGTCTACATTGGCGGTAGCTGGATTGTTTCAATTGCGAACTATATTCAAGCGCACTTTTCCGCTCAAGTTCATTTATTGTTCGAGTGACTCGAGTTTGCGACCACAATTTCGAAATCAAGATGCCTTCCGTTTCATTCGCAACTTTCCTCATCATCTGCCGTAAGAGCGTCCTAATCTTCCCTACCCAAGTCTACAGGAGAGCACTGACATGACCGTGATGCAGCCGTGTCCTTCTTCTTGGGCATCCTCTTCTCCCTCTTCCCCTATGACTACCCGCTCCTGTGGTCCTCGCTGCCCACACCTCCCTCTCACTTTGACGCCATCGAATCACATCTAAAACTCCTCCACAATGCGCCAAACCTGATTGTGCGGATTCTACATATGATGCTTGGCGTCGGCATCCTAGGCCTTGTTATTAAACTGTACAAGCCCAGCGAGTCCAATGTGCTCTTCGACGGGGGCAGTTTGGTGCTGTACATGGTTGCGGTCATTGTGTACATTGCGAATATTGTCAAGGGACTGAGGATTGTCAACGAGGGTACATACGGACTGGGCATGGAAACATTGACGCAAGATGAACTTGACGATGTCAATTCGCGTGGCTATGACGTTAATACGGGGGACAGTGTGCTTGGGCGGGAAGACAATCTCAAGGTGTTGGCGGCCAGCAACACCATTCTGGCGCTCGTGCTCGTGGGCGTGTTGGTGTTGCAGGTCGGCCAGTGGTACGCGGACCGGACGGATGAAAATGCCCTAAGAGAGTTTGAGGCGAAGGAAAAGGCGGAACGAGAGAGGAAGGAACAGGAAGCTTCGAGTCCGACGGTGAAAAGGCAGAGTAGCGGGAGGGAGGGAAAGAAGACCAGGTGAAAGGGAGCGTGTTGAATGAGATGCTTGGAATGTGTGAGGATTGATGTCGTGCTGTTGCTGTTGCTGCTGCTCTTGCAACTTCCTCTGCAAGTACTTGGATATTTCTGAGAGTCAGTGCAGGGACTTTCAGAAGTGTGAGCTCCAAAGCGATAGCCACAATGTAATCGAATGCCATTATCGTCGACTTTCGTAACCCGCCTTTCCAGGCAGAGTCGGTTGTCCCTTGGACCTATTCGCCCACTCGCCCTCCCAGCCAAACCCAAGTGATATCTCATCAATCTCCTGCTTCTACCGGGCCCTATTCCTCTGCTCCCTCTGCTGCTGTCTTTCCCTCTGCTCGTCCTTCCGTCGCATCTTCTTCATTTTCTTTCTCTCCTCTTTACTCAGCTCCTGGTTGCTCTTGCCCGCTGTTCTCTCGGGCAGATCCGGGTCCTTCGCGTTCTTTCTCTCCACCTTCTGCTCCTGCCGGTCTCCATTTACACCTTCATCGCCGCCGAGCAGCTTCCGCTTCTTTCCTGGCGTATGCCCCATATTCTCGACTGCACTGGCATTATTGACCCCTGTCGATTCTTGGGTTTCCAATTCTTGTTCGGCGTTTTCGTCTCCGTCGAATCCACCCTTGTGTTCAGTTCTGGCTGCGTTGCTATCGTCCAATTGGGTCTGGGCGAGGGCGTATGTTTCGGCATCTTGCCAGCCGTCCTCTGCTTGATCTTGATCTGGAGTCTCGGCTCCAAGGACCGCGCCGTCAGTCGGGTCGTCGATGGGTTCGGCGTCGAGAGAGTAGACGATTTTTCGTTTCTGTTTCTTGGATTTGGGGGCTTGCTGGTCCGCGTCCCCGGCATCGTCTTCGTCCAAGGGGCGTTTCTGACTCCCCCTCTTCCGCGGCGTCTGATTCTGGTCTGACTCTCCGGAACCTTCGAAATCTTCGTCCGCAGTATTGTCGCCTTTCCCCTCCGTTTCCTTCTCTAGTTCGAGGCTTCCACCGATACGTTTGCCTTCCATCCCGCTTAGGATCCTCTTTAAATGACTGAGCGTCAAATTGGGCGTGGATCCACTCGACAGTGCTTGGGGCCCACGCTCCGTAAGTGTGCTGTCCGGTCTATATGCGGCGTCATTTTCTGCACGGTCGAGGAATGCGGAGAGAAAGGAGTGCGCCTCAGAGTGAGTGAGGCGGGTGGTAGAGTGGTGCACGGAGGTGGGTAGAGGTGTGAGGCCTGCTGAAGAAGCCATCGTCGAGACTGAGATTGATTAGGATGCAATGGACGAATGAGTGGAAATGTGCTCGGTCCCAACTGAGGTCTGATGGACGACGAGGAGATTGACGACGAGTTTTCAACTCATATTCGGCGCAAGAGAATTGGTCGCACGGGTGTACGGAGTAGTCTGCCTCGTTCAGCGAGAGCGGCTCGTTGGTCGGTCCAGCTTGAGAGTTGAGAATTGCGGAGAGAAAAATAAAAATCCTCGACCACTTTAGATGGCGCAGCCTCAAGCCCCACTTGTATACGGACAGAACGGATACCTCGTTCTCTGCCGAGGCTCTCTCTGTTCATCACCTCCCCATGATCGAGTAATCGAGCTCAAGATACGGACTACATAAGTAAGTCTCTAACCTGGACAATTCGCATAAAACGACTCTCTGCTCATCCTCCCTCTCCGTCCCTGACCCCTCTTGCTGCTGCTGTGACCGTCGATTCCCTGGCCCTCTCCTCAATCGGGTCTTCTCACTCTCCCAGGAAGAAACATATACAGGGAAGCTCTCCGTCTTCGCAAAGTCGCGAAGATGCCACTCGCAACGATCCACCTCATCTCTCTCACCCCTTCAACTCCCTTGGTTGATTTCCTCGGCTCCGTCAAATCCTCCCCCCTCACGCCGCTAGTGATCTCGAAAGTGGTCCGCTGGATCATCACGCCAACCAAGATCGACGCCGGAGCATTGCTTCGCCCACGGAAGCCGTGGGACATCTTGCTCATCGTGCTCGGAGCTGATCCCCTTCCTTCGTCTCTGAAGGAGAAGATAGCTTGTCAGTGGAGCTGCTCGACGGGAATCCCTAGCCGTTTGACCACCGACTTCCCGTCGAGAAACGACAAGCTCTTGCATCCGCCCGCGTCGGATGTTCCACCGTTAACAGGCTCTTTGGACAAACCACGGCTAGCGGCCACGTCGCAGACCCTCGAGCTCAGCGCGGACCTGCAGTCGTGGATCCAACAGTTCTCGCGCACCAACGCGGGCCAGTCGCCCCTGTCCATGCTCAACCTGCTGGCCTTCAAGCCGGGCATGAAGCCGTCGTACCTGACGTACGGCGCCGCCTTCGCCGAGTCCATAGGCTCCCGCCGCGGCGGCAACGCCAAGCTGGTCGGCAACATCACGCACCAGAACCCGCCAGAACAGTCGGGCGGCAAGTGGGACGAATTCGCCCTCGCAAGCTATCCCTCAATCATGCATTTCGCCGACATGTTGGCCTCGGAAGACTACCAGGCCGTGAACATGAAGTACCGCGTTCCGGCGTTGGAGGATACGTGCATCCTGTGTACGAGTGAGATTGAGATAGAGGATCTCGTTCGGGGACAGGAGCAGTTGGGGATCGGAAAGAGGGCCATGGGCGGGAAGTTGTGAGTGCACAGAACCAATGCAAGGCTCCTGGGAGTGCTTGAAAATGCCCTCAGCGAGAGAAAAGATGGCGGCGCTCTCAAGATTTTCAGACCTTGAGAAAATTCAGCGAAGCAGCGAACCAAAGGATGGGATTTGGAGGTATGTTGTGAGATCAATTTGTTGCATCCTATGAGGTGATACAATATATATACACATATACCCATACGAGGAATGAGCCTTTAACACAATCTGTCCTCCCCGCAATTAACTCCAGGTATAGAATGTCTGCATCAACTTATTACAAGATTCATCAACTCTTTGATCAGCTGTAGTTTGCATCTTCTGTTGTCAAACTCGCGTGCCGTATGGTGATGAATGGTGTTCGAGGTTGACGTGATCGTTCATCCGCTCACAGGCCCACGTCTACATACCTAGCCATTCTCGATGTCTGACCCATCGAGGTCGTTGTAATAGTCGTCGTCAACGTCCATGGGCAAGCACGTCTTCCGAGTCGCCGCCCTCCTCGCCCAGGTAGTCTGAGAGCTGTCTGAGAGTTTATCATGTACTGACGGACTGTCTCACCCTTTCAGGAATCTTGTCAAAAATCGCAGATCCCATCCGGAATGTAACAATGAAAGGGGTTTTTTTTATAAGTGCTGGAACATTCAGAGACAGCTTCATCGTCGCTCGGATCTCCTGTGTGTTCCCGACTAGGGTGGAACATCTCTTCCCGCCACATTTCTTAGGTCCGCGCCCTGAATGCATATTGGTGAGGTCCATGCAAATGAGTCTCTAGAGGCATCCACTGGTTCAGCAGGTCCGGGTTGTGTCCTTTTCTGGCTGAAATGAGTATCATGGATGGCGTCGTCAGGACTTTGATCAAAACACAGCCTTAATTGAAGCTCTGTATTCGCGACGCCTCTGTTTGGAGTGAGTGGGGATTTGCGAATCCCGGAGCCAAAAGATTGCGGCTCCCGAGTTGGCTTTACATCCGCTGGCCTGCCACGATTTCATTGTTGATGATGCCCATTTTCAAACATTTGCCACAACACCTTTTGGCACTAATTGGTCAAGTGTTCCCGGTTTCAGTCTCAACTGCCTCTCTGCCTCTTGCCGAGTCTTGCCCACTTCATCTCTTAACGTCAAAGCCTCTTTGATATCCTTTGCGCTCAACAGCGTCCTGCCCGCGAAGCCGGGTCGACCTTGGCTTTCCATCTCCGATTCCCATTGAGCACCGATTCTTTTCCTGGCCCGGACAAGCATCATGGCTGGATTATTCTCGTCAGAGGGGAAGATGTTCTGACCGGAATGCATTGGCTGGCTCGAGGTTGGGAATGTGTCTTCGTCGGGTCTTCTCTCTGTCACCGGTCTGGCTGCACCCACCCGGCGCAATGCCAAGCCAAATTGCGGATCTCGTGCATCGAGCTCTACATGTTCTGACTTCTCGCCTGCGGGAGGAGCGGCGGTTGGACTGGGGCGAACTTCAACTGCAGGCGCGGGTTCTGTTGCTGCATGGGTAGGTGAATGTGCGGAGTTGACGATGGAGGGTGTCGAAGGATATTTGCGGCGGGCTGCACCTCCTCCAGCTCTGGCGGCGACCTTGGAAGCTGAGGAGCCCATCGACAGAGAGAAAAGGCAGTGTACCGGGTGATCTGTTGGACGTGGTCAGAGAATTGGGAGAATGACAGCATTGAGACGACGAGTCAACTGAGAGTCTCCACTTCCATGGCAAGGCTGGGCGAGGCTGATGGGGCTGAATGCGTCATAGCTCGCCAGGGCTGCGACCAAGCAACCAACCAATCGAAAGTCACGTCAAGGGCATCTTTTCGTGTCTCGTTCAATGCATGGAACAGACCAAGTCGCAAGTTTTGATGCGTTTTCCCCTTTGGACAAACCCTCTTCTGCATCCTCTCAGCCAGAGACGGCTGACATAACAGTTATTTGTCCTCAGCCTGAGCAAATAGGATCTCCACGACTCTTCGCCCTCACACGCCCTCTTCATTAATCATTGCCCCTCCCCCACCGCCTCTTCAGCAATGGAACGCAAACACAAACCCTCCTCCATTCCAGTCTCTCCCCTGATGGCCCAACCCGTCGTTGACCTCTCAGACAATGTGCTCACGGCACGGCTCCCCAGCGGAGACTCGGTGACAGTCTACCTGTACGGAGCCACCGTCACATCCTGGAAGACATCCAATGGTGCGGAACAACTCTTCCTCTCCTCGGCCGCAGCCCTAGACGGCTCCAAACCCATCCGCGGCGGCGTCCCACTCGTCTTTCCTGTATTTGGGCCTCCTCCAAAATCCCACGCGACTGGTCAGCTGCCTCAACATGGGTTTGCGAGGAACAGCTACTGGGAGTTTCTGGGCAAGAGCAGCAGTGAATCGCTGGGACGCAAGGCGGACGACAGTGTCAAATTGGATTTTGGATTGAGTTCCTCGATGCTTGACGAGAGTGTACGGACGAAGTGGCCTTACGAGTTTGGATTGGTGTACAGCGTGACTCTGGGCAAGGGGAAATTGGAGTGCCAAATGCATGTGCAGAACAAGGGAGAGCAGTCGTTTGAGTTTCAGTGTTTGTTCCACACATACCTGGCTGTCAAGGTAAGATGGCGAAGTCGAAGTACGAAGAAAGAGCATTCGTTACTAACTGTGGCCAAGGACATCTACAAGACCGCCGTCCGAGGTCTTCAATCCTCACCTTACGTGGACAAAGTCCGCTCCGCCCAGACCTTTACCGAAGACTCTCCGTCGCTCTCATTCACGGGCGAGACGGACCGCGTCTACACTCCTCCCACGGATCCCAAAGACAACACCCTCGTGCCCTTGACTGTGACTGAAGACGGAAAGGACACCTTCGTGGTCACCCGGGACGCATTGCCCGACGTGACGGTGTGGAACGGGTGGGAGGACAAGATCAATGGTATGGGCGACTTTGAACCCAAGGACGGGTGGAAGAGATATCTCTGCATCGAGCCAGGGTGCGTTAGTTCATGGACGAAGCTCGAGGCCGGCGACGCATGGGAGGGCGCATGTTCGTTCGAGAGCAAGCTGTAACGGGCCACCAGAGAGAGGACTCGGGTTCTGTTTCTCAGCCAGTGGTCCGAGAATGTCGATTGCCATGTGGCAGAGCGAGTGGAATAAGGAGTGGGGAGTGTGCCCATCGAACTAGATACCGCGCCCCAGAGAAACAGGACAAGACGAAGTTGACATGAAATGAAATGGAAGAACGCACCGGCATCAGTAGGAGATGCATGCATGCATGGATGGCAACGCAATGAAGACAAGGAAAAAATCCTCTACAATAGACTACCAGACAGGGAAGAGGAGAGACGAAACATACTCGCCCAAAAGGCGGGGAGGGAATCCCCCCAAGCGTTCTTTTCTTCTTTTTCTCTCTCTGCCTTCTGGGTTATCAGGGACGAGGGGGGGGGATGTTGCATTTCAGCTAGTAGTTCCCACCTCCGGTATGAAGTACGATCCGACACAACGCCATATACCTACGAGTAAGAGTCCAAGTGCCGGTATGAGGACGTATATACCTCTGAGACGTGGATTGATTGCTTAACTACCCGATTGATTGATCGATTGATTGAACAGCGCTCGGGGCGTGCTAGCGTCATGAGGAGCCAGAGCCAGAGCCAGAGGAGGCCCATCGTGACTTGTGCTGTATGCCCATGCAGGTAGAAGCGTCGAGAGCGGTGGCATGGCGTGTATTAACGTGGAGCTTAACTTCAACATCGCGGAATAATCTGGCGGGATAGATTCATGCGTTGCATTGCATTGCACTTCATCGACGGCAATCGTTGACGTTAGGAACAAGCGACGAGCGACTGAGCAGAGACATTTTCATTCGCATTCCTGTTTCCCACCCCAGCTATGAACAAGTCATCTCACATTAACCCTGCTTCACCTTCCATTCCCTTCGCGGTCCCAAGCGCGGTGGGCAGAGAGCGATGGGGCCACATACAGAAAGTTGATCAAGGCCCTTTGTTCCTTCCAGCAGTCGCTTGGTCTCTGCTCTCGTCTTGTTCGTGGGGTACTGCACCACCGACATGGAACAAGCTGTGCTGAGTGTGGTTTCTTGGACTCGGGAATGCAAATGTAATCATGCCCATACCCATGCCGATGTCGATGTCGATGCAGATGTAAAGGCTGTCAGGGGGAGGAAATCATCAATCTAACCCTCGGAGCGTATCTCCTTTTCTCCGTTGTCGTACCACAGATGCATGCCCGGTTCTCTAGAACGCGCGAAGGGCCATTTCCCCCTGTCGAGAGGGCTGTGCTGTATCGGCTGCCTGTCGATCTTAGAGGCCTTTGTCATTCCCGATCGTGCTGTCCTGGCGCTGGCGTCGAGGCTGGACCTTCTGTTCCAGGGTCCTGGCCCTTGGCTCTGGCATCCCGAACTTTCAAGTACGCCTGGTGCTCGCGATCTGTCAACGACCACCAAGATTGATGGTGTGCGTTAGCAATTCACCTCCATCAAGTGCTGGTACTCAAAGTTTGGAGAGTATATAGAGAAAAAAAGACAAGGCCAGACGGCGGGGATCAGGACAACAGCCATGGAAGTCGTTGCACGAAGATAGAAAGAAGGGACGACGCAACTTACACCTCTCCCATAGGAAATAACTCGTCACAATGGCAAACGGCAGTGCCACGACAAAAGTGGTGTACCGCGTCGACGCCTTCCGGTACCTAGGGTCCTTCTTCAGTTGTTCGAGCGGAAGTTCAGACAATTTCGGTCCACGAGGCACCTCTGGAGGGATGGTCGGTCGTGGTGGCATTGAAGGCTTTGAGCCAAATGACTGGCCTGTCGCGTTGTGCTGACGGGCGGCCAGGGCGATTGTGGTGGACATGGGAAGTGCCTTTGTGGACGAATACGGGCGGACCTGGTGCTGGGGGTTTTGAGAAGGGCCGATGGGAGACGACAGCAACGAGGACGGCGGATGTGGGTGGGAATGTGGAGGTTGCTGTTGCTGTTGTTGTTGTTGGCTGAGAGAAACGACGGTCTGTGTTGAAAATGCATGTGCTGATTCACTCGTCAAGGTAGGATTCGCATTCAGACACGGTGCTGGGCGTGGCGCCGTGCTCGCCGTCCCTCTTCTCAAAGGAGCCATCGAGGAAGATACATCAGCCGGAATACGAAGCGTGTCCACGTCGGAAAACGCCTGTAATGTCGGTGTCGGTGTCGCCTTTGTATCGGGTTGGACGTGCTGCGACGATAGACACTGAGCATAAGCAGCTTCTTTCTGTCCCACCAGCTGTACGAGATCCAGCTGCAGCTGCTCCGATTGTCTCGAGAACGCCTTGGCCTGGTCAAGGATCTTGGACATGGATTGTCGTGGATATACAAGCTCAGCAGTTGGTGTCGTTGCCGTCGCTGTTGTTGGCTGCTTTTCCTGTGCCAGTCGAGTCTTGCTTTCTTCGGATGAGGCTCCTGCTTTCTTAGGCGCAGCTTTTGCCTTTTTCCTTCCTTCTGGCACTGGCGCAGAGAGTTCGTGTGGGCTGGCGAGGGACTTTGGCTTTGCTTGAGGTTTGCGGGTCTTCAATACAGAGGGAGTCGCCGAATCCGGAGTCTTCTTGATCACGGGGGTTTTCCTCTTGGCCGACGCCGAAGCTTTCGTCTTCTCTCCCGTGCACGCCTCAGCCACCTCCTCAATGGGAGTTGTCGTCGTCGTCGTCGAAGCTAAAGATGCCTTGGATCGTGTTGTTGGGAGGGGAACAATGTCACCCACGTCTGTGCTATCATGATGCAAATTTACTTCGCTCCCTGGACTCTGTTTCTTCGCAGGACGACCTCTTTTCTTCGTCGTCACCTCCGCCATTGTCACGGTCCTGAATACTCCGTACTCTACTCCGTGCAGCTATGTCTGTCTTGTAAAGCCACAGGAATATTCCAGACGAGAAGCCATGCACACCCGATACGCTTCAAGACGCGCTCAAAGACGCGCTATGGAAATTGCACGCTGCAGAGTGGAGTGGGGGGGCCAATTGCCCTCAGGGGTTAGAACCTAAGAGTCGCCTCGGGATACAGAATACACGAAACATCTTGGGTAACAGAATACGAGGCACAAACGTCTCTCGCTTAATGTCTGGACGCTGTTACAAACAGCCAATCATGCCATACTAGTCTATACCCTGGACAAAAGTTGACCTAATTAGTCTAATAGCTCAGCCGGCTTTTCCAATACCTTGAACTCCCTGGAAGGTGAATACTTGCCTATGGAACGGTCTCATGGTCCCATGGTCCCATAGTCGCCCAAACAAAAGAAAACGAAAGATGTGTTTGTGTACATGATGTGCTCGACATCAGTTCCCCATAACCTCCCGTCCGATCCCATCCGACGCTATGCTCCGTTGTAGTGATATCCAGCAACCTGCTCTATGCGCCTCCCCAACCTAGATATTGCTGCTACCGTCCCTGTGCAAACTATGCCGGGACTCTTCCCTGAGACCCAGGCAGGGGATGCGCATACCTCACGGAGATGGAACCTACGAGTGCCCTGGTTCAAGGCTGCTCGCGGCTAAGTCCGTTCAATCTTTGGCCTTCTTGCTCTTTTCTCTGCCACCACTCATTTCTTCTTTCTTCCAGCTGCTTTTCCTCGCGCATTTGGTATTCCTCAAATTGCCTCATTGCGCTTGCGAGGCGTTCGAGTTCCGCTGCCTTTTTCTTGAATTCGGCCGCTTCAAGTTTCTCACTCATATTGATGATCGTTCCTGGTCCGGGAGATTCTCCACGCAGACCCCTTGGATCCACTCTAAACCGTGAACTCTTGGGTCGACCTGGTGATGAAGGTCGACGATTGCGAGAAGGATTTGCCGGGTTGGTTTCCTCGACAAAGCTGATATTTCTGGGTGTAGTACTCGAACGTGGGCGTTCTTGAGCCACTTCCGCCACCGCGTTGGCTGCCGCAGCAGCGGCGAAGCTGTCTTTATGGCTTCTTTGAATGCTTCCAAATCTTCGTGCCTGGAGCGCCCCGCGAGGAGGCAAAAGTACCCCAAAACCGCTGGGCGATTCGACGTTTTCAACAACCCGATCAATCACACTTTGTGGCGGACTTATAACTTGCTGGCGATACTGTGCTTGTTGCTGTTGTTGTTGTTCGCGCTCTTCGGCATCCATGATTAAGGCGTGAATGTCATCGAATGTCATATTAAAATTCCACGATATTCCGCGCGCCGCTGCCCTCTTGCGGATGTCTGTCAGCGCATTGTGGTCGTCTCTGAGGCGATCCTCGTAAGTCCGCCTCGTTGTCGCTGGATGTGGCATTGGATACGCTACGTTGCGGCTCGGGCCCTCATAAAGGGATGCATACTTCTCTGATGGGCGATGGGAGACACCGGCCACAAATTCATCCCGAGTCGTCATGCTACTTGTTGCTGGAGCGCCGTTTGGTGTTTGGCCTGCGCTGTGATTAGGAGGACCGGCAAAACGCTGTGACAGCCGCTCGGCATCAGTGGCACGGAGGACAGTGTTGACAGGCGTAGACAACAGTTCAGCCTCAGGAGTCTGTGAAGAGGACAAATCGATTGGGTCGTAGCTTGTGCCCTGAGACACAGGGTTCGGCATCAATGCTCGTGCGAGCTCGACCGAGTCTGTGCGATCAGACTTGAGTTGCTGATCTTGGTCGCACCGGCACCAGACTTGTGCGTACATTCGCCAATCATACACGCTTCCTGGGACAGTTGCCTCATTCTCGTCCTCTTCGTCTGGCATTTGGAAAGCAATTTCTGCAAAGGCAAGTAGTCGAGACGATGGAGGAAGACAAGACAGATCGCATGAACCAGGAATTTCAACATGGGCCGGATTCGGCTTCGCAATGACGCCGTCAGTGGTGACGTGGCCGCGTTTGGATCTCCGTCTAGATTTCCTCTTGGATGAGGGAGAGCTGCCATCGGGCTTTGACGGTTTAGGTGGGCCAAACACTTCAGCGAGTCGTTGGGATTTTAGGACAATAATTTTGGATTTGTTGGTCGTTGGAGTTTCAGACGTCGGGGCCTTCTCAACCGCGCCAGCATCGTCTGCTTCACTGTTTTCAGCAGAGATGGAGTAGCGGAGTTTTGACGGCACTCTCACGCCCGAGTAGGAGATTCTTGCCGATTTGCGGGGAGAGGCCTCTTGGGCATCGTCGGCGGCCGGACGCTTCTGAGCTGCCAAAGACTCTGATAATACCTTTGCAGTGGGCTTCCGCTCCCTCTGAGAGATTCTGCGGGACGGGGTCTCGGCAACGTCGGCTCGAATCTCTTCTCCAGCCACTTCGGTGGGAGATGGAGTTTTGGTTCTGATGCGATATGCTGCCGATGGAGTTTCTGGGACTTCAGGCACTGGTTGCACTTCCTCAGGTACGTCTTTGGGCGGAGGAATTGTCGCCGATGGCTCCTTGTTGGAAGGTGGCCCAGACCTTACAGGCAGAGGCTCAACTACAATAGTGTCCAAGAGTGGTGGCGAATACGATCTGCTGCCACCCAGAGCTTGGGCTTTGGCAGTAGGCTTGCGCACCCGGCTAGAAGCGCGTCGGCTGCCAGCTTGGCTAGCTTTGTTGGAGGCGCGGTTGGTGGTGGAGGATTTGGACCTCATTGTTGCTGATGACTCGGGGTTGGCGGCCAGACTGTCAGCGTAATCATCAGGGTCGCTCACCGACGTGGCACCGCCAGCAGAAGTGCTGGTGCCGTGAGTCGACTCGGTCGGACTGGGAGTCGCCGAGTCCGTCAATGAAGCAGAAGCAGATGGCTTGGAGCGGGCCCGGAGAGTGTTCAATCGCATCGAAGGAAGTGCCGGAAGCTGAGGGCGTTTCCTGAGGAACATTGCCGTTCGACCAGCAAAGGCCACGGCGGGCTGGCGGGAATGCAGGAGTCTCAGCAGCGAGGCGGATACGTGCCGACGCTCGGCGGAGCGGGATTGATGACTTCTGATGAGCCCAGAGTAGGGCAACAGTGGAGGAGAGTGAAAGGTCGTTGATCTGGCACGAGGAGACGAGAAGAGGAAGAAGGTGGCTCAAATCTTGTGCGGGTTCCTTCCGAAACAGGCTTAGTGCCTCCCGCCCGCTGTGGCTTCTTGCTGGTGGAACGACAAGCGACAAGGAAAAGAGATTGCCACCAGGTAATGGAAAAGGCTGGAGATCGAGTGAGCGAGAAAGACGAGACAGTAGAGAAGAATAAACACGCCTTCTCCTATAGTCACCAACCACCACGACCATGCGGACTGCCAAGTCAATCTACCGAGTACATACAATGCAAACCACTCCCAAGCAAACAAAGCCCCCTGCAGCCCATTCATTCATGCAGAGATCACTTCTATACAAGACGGCCAATGCATTGTCCCATTGACTATATAGCTCCTCAAATCAAACAAGAGGTTGAGGGGAATGCAGAGTCTCGTTCTTTGTGCATGTCGGAGCAGTGAATACCGAATAGCCTCGCCGCATTGATATCAGGCTGTCTGCCACGCCTGTCTAATTGTCTAGCTGTCTCCCGCCGAGACTTCCAATACCACAGGACCCTTCTGCCCATTCAGCTCCCTTCTCACATCCTCCAGCCTCCTCCTCTGCTTCCCGTCCTCATCAAAGTTGCCCTCAGCCAACCAGTCTTCAAATCCCCGTTTCACACCTCCCTCAAACCAGTCGTCATCGACCATGGAAAGCCAACAGGTGTTCCTGGACCTCCCTTTGTAGATCATGTGCTTCCTAAACACACCTTCAAACGTGAACCCGAACCTTATCGCCGCTCTCTTGGATGGAACGTTCAGGTTGTCGCATTTCCACTCGTACCGTCGATATTGCAGAGTCTCAAAGACATATTTGGCCAGGAGATACATTGCCTCGGTAGCTGCCTTCGTCCGTTGTAGTAGCGGTGAGAAGAGGATGTTTCCGACTTCCACAACGCGGTGTCGCGTGTCGATGCGCATGAGGCTTATCCAGCCTACTGGTTTTGCGCTTTCCTTATTGATGATGGCGAAGAAGAGGGGATCCTCGGAATGAGATTTCGCAGTGACGGCTTCTTGGAAGGCCGCGAGTGATTCGAAAGGATTGTCGAATAGGTAGGTCCAGAGATGGTTATTACTGTCGCCTTTCACAAGGTCATAAAGATCAGTGGCGTGGGATGGCATGAGTGGTTCAACTACAACTGTTGTTGCAGTCAAGGTGACGCGCGAAGGCCGCGAGCCTGGAGCAGCAGAGACTTGGGGGCCGATCCTCTGCCGCATATCTGCGGCATCATGTAACATGTTATCGTCATTGTTATTTGCGCAAGGGTCAAGAGGACGGGACCTTAGAGATGAGCTTTTACCTTTTGACGCGATCGCGTCTTGAACCACTGATTTCATTCTGCCTGTGAGACTGCTACCCGTTCTCTGCCTTGATGAGTCTTTCTTCCCCAAAGGTCCAAGGCAATCGCTCTTGGGAAAAGGCGATAAGGGAGCGTTATAGAAGACTTGAAGGCAAAGTTGGCCCCCCGTGATGCCCCAAGCGTCTCGGACGTGACCACTCCCCTCCGGTTAAAGGAGGCCGATCATTGGTTTCCCAACTTCCCAGCGATAATAGAAGTTACGTTGCTGAAGATGTCAACGGGGCGAAACACAGAATTTGCCCTAGTGGACACTGTGGGAGGCGGGAAAGACTCTCGAGAGCCTACGAGGTACAAGCCTACTCACCTTTCGGTGGAACCTAGATTAAGCGATGATGGGCTTACTACTTAAGGGAGGGCCGATCCGTCGTCACGGATCTAGCTAAATGGACTAGTTTGCCTCGTGGAGCAGTTACGACTGCGATGTTTGATTCGGTTAGGTTTCGATGACGGAGAATGGCAAACGGGCCTTGACAACGACGAC